GCTCAGGTCATGATCTCACGACTCATGAGTTCAAGCCCCACATCTGGCCCTGTGCTGACAGCTCGGAGCCTGGAGCCTGCTTGGGAGTCTGTCTCCCTCTCTGTCCTTCCCCCACTCGTGCTTTCTCTCTCTCTCAAAATAAAATTAAAAAAATTTAATTTATTTATTTTGAGAGAGAGAGAGCACAAGGGGAAGGGGGGAGGAACGGGGCGGGGGAGAGAATCCCAAGCAGGCTCTACACTGTCAGTGCAGAGCCCGCCGTGGGGCTTGAACCCACAAACCGTGAGATCATGACCTGAGCTGAAATCAAGAGTCGGATGCTCAGCCGACAGAGCCCTCCAGGCGCCCTGACCATTCGGTATTTATTTAAGTTGGGGACGTCCTGAAATGATTGGCTTTAGCAGCATTTCTCCGAAGGCTGTGTGAAGGGCCAGGGGTGGGGGTGGGGGTGCAGATATAAGGTGTTGCCGTGGTCCGGGTGGAAGGTGGCAGCTTGGAGTAGGGGGCAGGAGTGTCACTGCAAAGGCCCGGATGCCTTTTTGGAGTCAATGGGATTTACGGAGGTGAGTGAGAGGGAGGAATTTAGGGGACTGCTGGAGACGGAACAGGTGGCAAAAAAGGCAGAGGGTTTTCCTGTGATTTCTATCATCTGTCCCCCTCCTTCCCAGTTTTGTCCTTTTTCCTGACTTGTTCCCACTGTCAGAGACTTTCCCTAACGTCTGTCACTCCCAGCAAAAATGACAACGCTCAGAGCATGGCAGTGGGAGGGCGAGGACCTGGACGGAGTCAATGGAGACCAAATCCTGTCTGGGTGAACTGTGACCTCGGACAAGCTTCTTCATGTAGGACATCAGTAGAGAAGAGTGACCCCGTCCCGGCTGTTGAGTTGGGGGCATTTATGCTTTTACATCCTCAGCATCTAGCAGATCCTTGATAGGGTCAAGCCTGCAAATTGGAATTTATTTCCTCTCGGATTTTAGACTGTGCAGATCGGAGGGGAAACAACTTGGGCACTTTCGGGCACCCGCTCACCCAAGTCTATCAGCCAGGTGACATTCGCTCCACTTGCTTAAGAGAACGGTCTCCAAATTCCTGCCCCAAAGTTCTCCCAGTTCAAGTATTCCCCTGATTTCCCAAGACCTACCGAACCTAAATTTGTATCTTACCCTGTAATGTCGGGTTTTTCTTCTGTAAGACTTTAGGAATATTTTCTGGAAGCCTAAGGGGCGCTAACTGGCTGTTTTGGCCAAGTTACTTTGGTCTCCCAAAGTGGGTCAGCTTGTCGAAGACGTGGAAGACTGAGCTTAACCAGGCGTACGGAGTTGAGCCGCAGCCCCCCCCCCCCCCCCCCCCCCCCCCCCCCCCCCCCCCCCCCGACGTCACTTTGGGGGCAAATCCGATTGGGCACTTTTCCCGGGTGGCGTTGTCAGGTAAGGATTCCAAAGGGTAGCAGGGGAGAGGATTACCAGCCTGTTACTGAACATGAACCCAGGGACCAAGGGGCCGGCAGGTCACTCACAGACGCGAGTCCAGTAACGGCCCCGAACTAAAACTGTGTGAGTCGTACACACCGGTAACGAAGAATAATCCTCCCGAAGTTATCGCTTCCTTTGTAAGTAGGAATGAATTCCCCGCCTCCTCGGAATAGAACACATCAGATGTTGACAGACCGTGGAATATCGGGCCGAGCCCATCACAGCGTGCGCGGAGCGCCAGCCTCATCTATGCGGTCCCGGGCGGCTTCTAACCGCCCCGTTTTGTAACCTGCGACTTACTGTATGTTCGTGCCCGGACCGCAGCAGTTGAGGACTCCTCCCTCAACAAGATGGGTTAACGGGTACCGTGACCGCTTCATGCGAAAGGCAGAAACAGGCTTTTTAGTTGGCAAAGCTAAAGCTTTGTAAAGCACAGTTTAGTACAAACCCTACGGGACTCGGCTCAAAGCGCGGCCTCTCCTACCGCATCGGAGACGCCCGCTCTCCCGTCCGTTTCCACGAACACGCGGCGAGGGCCTGTTGTGCGCGCCTGCCAAAACCGGACTGGGGAAGCTCATTGAAAATTGGCTCTTAGGGGGCGGCCGGGCCGGCTCAGTCGGTGGCGCGTGTGACTCCGGACCTCAGGGTTCAAGCCCCACGTGGAGCAGAGTTTACTTAAGAACAAACACAAAACTATGACCCCACGTCAACAAACTGGAAGCAGGCTCTGAAATGTGTCTCCCTCTCTGCCCCTCCCCCGCTCATGCTCTGTCAAACATAAATCAACATAAAAAATAAACATGAAAATGAAGTTAAGAAAGAGCCCGTGAACGAGCGGCGCAGCAGCCCAACGTTCTCCCGGACTGTTCTCGGCCCGTCGATGACCTAGTTCCGCCGGACTCGAGAGCAGTTCCACGCGCTGCGGCGTTAGAACCAGCGCGTCCACCCGGGCCGCGTTCCCGTCCGCACAACGCGCGCTCCCCTCCCCGAGGAAAACCGCGCCGGGAAACAAATCTCGGGGCCTGACCGGTCACCTCGGGGTGGACGCGCCTCCAGGGCCCTCGCTGCGGAGCCACACTTACCGTTACACGTGCCGAGCAAAGTTCAACGGCGCAGGTCTGTCAATGGACAGGCCTCAGGAAGGTTTCCCCGTTTCCATGTGCTTCCGCCGGGTGGGTGGGGACTCGCCCGTTTGGAGCACCACGTATCCAAAGGGTCAAGATCTGGTTTTCACGAACAGATTTACTCTCTGCAAATTTTAAACCAGGAGGAAAACCAACAGCTCCAGCTTCCTTTCCACACAAAACGTATCCTTTCTCCGTCTCTCAACGGTCTCGTCTCAGACGGGAGGTGACAAACCGCTTGGCACTAAAATGACTCTTAAAGGTTCAAGTGACTGAACTACACGGGCAGGGGTGAGAATAAAGACCAAAAGCAGGTACAGTTTAATGTATTTTAATAGCAAACTTACAGGAACAGCACAGAAGACAGACAACATTAAAAACATGTACTTGCATGTAGGACAACTCAGTTAGAAAAGTATAGTGAATGGATGGAATCTACCGTATGATAAAAATGCTACAAACACCATTTAGTTGCCGTCAATAAGAAATTTACTCGTTTTAAAAAAATCCAAATGCTGGCATTGTCCAGAAAAATTTAACAGGTTTATTTATAATTGTTATAAAGTTGAACTGCTGAAACGTGTTCACTGAAACATTTTGACTTGCATTAATGCTTTATGTCCCCGCATTTATATTAAAAATTCACACACGAATGAAAATGGAAAAACTGCCAATACCTGATTTCTGTCCCCGATTTTTCCATTTGCAATCATATACTTCGGTACCTTTTGACCCCATGGAAAAAAAATATCTAACGTTCAGAACTACCAATAACAGGAAGAAGAGAAAATTTTTTTTTTTTTTTTTTTAAAGAATGAAACGTTTTCCATCAGAGTGGATTCTTAAGCACGCTCTCCACGTATGCGGCGCGCTAGCTGGATGTCTTTTGGCATAATTGTTACACGTTTGGCATGGATAGCACACAGGTTGGTGTCTTCGAAGAGGCCCACCAGGTAGGCCTCGCTTGCCTCCTGCAAAGGAGCAAAGAAAAAGGCATCAATGGCGTTATTAGCACCCGCCACGGGGAAGTCTGTACCGGTTCAGATGATGAGGTTTTCGGACCTCTGAAAAGCCGCTCCAGAAGACGCTGACCTGTTCACCAAACGGGTACGTTTTAAAACCTGGGGGACAGGCTGAAAGGCAGTTTAGGAAAAGCGGAAGGCTCGAGCTTGGAAATCTTCAGCAAATTACACAAGAGTCAAACGATTTCATTACTAAGCTTCGATTTTTCTCCTGTTAACACGCGATCTCTTATCCACCGAAATGTCTTCGGTGAATCCCACTGAATCCAGGAACTCCAGCTTAGACTCTAATCCTGTCTCCTCGCCAGCGTCCTCCTCATCCCGAATCCCGCTCGCCCCGGAGTATCTGCCTGAACCTTTGCTTGCCAATAATCCAACACAGCGGACAACTGGCTTCCATCACATGGTCCCCATCAACCTTTTCTTTTCCACCTCCGTTCTAGCACATGGGGCCCACGGGTCCCAGAACACAACACGCTGGTGTTGTTTACATTCTTGGACCTGTTTTGCCTAGATGTGCCCCCTCCAAGCGCACCTTCCTCTGTGCTCCCCAACCCGCAGTGACCTTCTCCCCTCTCGTATTAATATGGATCCCTCCAGTTTTTCTCATTACACTCGAGGAGTCTTTGAAGGCACCCCCCTCTCTCTATCACCACTCAGAAACCGCCAGCTGTGGGAACTGTTCACGGACACTTGGCAAGTCAGGTTAGTAGACCTTACAGCTGTCTGAAAAGCTAAAGAGTCCTTTAGCCGAAGTCACATTTGCTTCCTCATTCCAAGAGGCAGAAACCGTTTTGCCAGTCCGGTCACCCGCCCAGCTGTTTTAGTGGCTCAGGAGCATTAGACGGGGCTGTCTGGCCTTGTCGCCTTCTCTGTAGAAAAGTTACTTCTCTGATCAAGATACTCAGAAAAACCAAGATTCCTGTAGTTGCTGTTTTTGTCCTAATAAAAAAAATATTTTCCATTTTGGAACGCTTAGGTAACAATAAAGCTAAAAATGATGCCACCCGACACTTGAGCAATTTCAGCCACTTATGCTACATAACACAAAAGATGTAGACAGGAATAGGCAGATTCGCTTGTGATTTTGCAATAAAACTACGGAGACTTGCTTTCCCAAGCATCAACGCAGCAACAATTAATTCAACTGGTTCACATTATCATCTTATGAAAAAGTATGCCCTTCACATTTATATATCTTCAACTTTTTTGCCTTATGTCTCTCTTCTATGAAAATTTGTTTCATCTAAATTTTACAACCCCTACAATGTTTTTCTGCTGCGTTTTTTCTTAATGTTTATTTAGTTTTGAGAGAGAGAGAGAGAGCGAGCGAGAGAGAGAGAGAGAGAGAGAGAGAGAGAAAGAAAGAATCCCAAGGAATCTCTATACTAATGGATGTGGGGCTCGAACTCAGGAACCGCGGGATCATGACCTGAGCTAATTAGCTGATTGGGCCCCCCAGGAGCCTCCTGCTGCATTTAAGAGTCAGGTTTTACCTACCCACTAAGGCCTAGCTCAGACTTTCCGAGCAGGAGGAAGCAAGCGCTTCCACTCCCAGCTCCCGAGGGCACAAAGCCTTTAACTCCTTCCTCCAGACTCCCTGCTGCTTCTCTGGCAGAGCCAGAGCCACCCTCTTATGTACGTAACTTTATAATAGAGTCTTGTTTTCTACTCACGACGCCTTGCCTTGGAGTAGATGTTCAACAAATGTTTGCTTTTTAAATCTAACCCCAAGTAAGTTTACATCTTTTCCATGCAAACATTCCAAAGGATGTAATGAAGGCAAAAGCCCTTACCAGCCGGGGATTCATTCTTACAATATTCTAAAGGAATGGCTGAGAGGTGTGGAGACCAAGGCATAGTGTGGGCTCCGATGGGCTCACCACACGCATCAGATAGGACTGACGTTCCTCAGGCAAGACACCAGTTCGATTTTGTTTCACCCAGCCTCACGCCCGTCCAGAATGCTTCTGCAAAACGTAGCACTGTGAGCTGCTAGATGGACAAGCCAACAGGTCCCGTGGTTCTGAGACCATTTAAGAGCAGAATGATCCATGGGCTCCCTGGTACTGCTCCGAATGGCACGTGGCCATTCTCACTTCTGTCTTGGAGCCCGGCTACTGGTTTTATAGGGTTATGTCTGGTCGGCTCTGGGAGAGTATTCTATACCCACGGGGGATTTGACCATGACCCATATATTTCTAATTCTATTACACAGATCCTAAAACCTTCTCAACGGGAAGGCTCTAATGGGAATGAAAGACTGCCACATAAATTTATAGCCCAACAAACCAATTTTAAGACAATGGCAAAAGAAAAAATATCTTACAACTAGAAGGAAATGTTAATTTACAATGCGTTGACTATATTCAATGTCTGCTTCTCCCACCATTTCGAAACACCAATATCTACGTTTTTGACACGAAGATACCTCAAGTCCAAACTCTCAGACATTAAAGACAAAGGTCAGATTTTAAGTCCGTCCGTTCCTGAGTATCGTATGGCAAACCCAGACTAATTTCTTTACCCCTCACCCCCCCACACCACCTCCCCATCTCATTTAGTTCTATTAGGAAACTTGTCAACTGTGTGATTCTAAACCAAAAATAAAGTGACTTTTTGACTTTTATTGCAACTGCTCTCTTCGGTTATTTCCACCAGCAAGTTCTCCATCCCTGTCTTTAAGAGAACGGAAGCGCGTGGACACAGAAAGCAAACACGTGCACAAAAAAACTGGTAACAAAGATTACTCTTTCCAAACAAGAGCCATCTAACTGCTGGAGTACGGGCAGCAGAAGGAAACACTGTGCTCAAAACCAATACAGGGACACTTGCTAACCTAAACCACACACCTTCGTGCCAGTGACCATGAAGTTTACACGTGAACTGGAAAGACAAGAGTGTTTTGCCCAGATTGCTTAGTAATCTCCATTTACAAGGCTCTACCACGGACCGACCGTTTAACACGAACACGTTGGGACTTCCCAGTATAATGGGTTCTTTAAGCACAGTTCCGGCTAACTGGGACTAGGAACCAAAACTAGCAAGCTTTGTATCAAATGCTTGACAATCTTGGAAAATACAGCGGGCAAAATGTGACTTGCAACTGTAGTGATAGACCAAAGGAGACCTTACGGTAAACAACGATTAAAACAGAAAAAAGAGTTTTAAGTACCAGCGCTAGAAGATTTTAGTAGTTTAAAATTTCAGTAATTTCAATTCATTGAGAATTTAATGGATGCCTACTCCTGGAATCCACCAATCAAACCCAGTTCAGACTAACCATAGAAACAGCTCAACCAATCGCACTTCAGCATAGAACCCACCTATCAAATCTCCCTCACATGTAAAGCCAAAGCTTGCCACGGCAACAGCAGCCTCACAATCCTCCAATGGAGTGTATGTGGACTGTGGTCCCCGCACCCCCAGAGATTCTGATTCACGTCTGTGGTGCCTAGAAATCCGCACTTTTAGTCACTTCCAAACCCCTGCTCTCATGGAGGCAGTAGTCTGAGATACACCGATCTAAAACATGCCAAACACAATATAAAACAGGTTACACGTTAGTGATTGGTATTAATTATATTCTCACCCCTAATCAAGCATGTTACCCGTGGGCATTTCAAGTTTTAATGCTGGCACAAGACACAAATATTATGGATATGTAACCACCTCTAAGACCGTACTTCTCAGAGTTCTGACACCTGGTGTGGAGATTAAATTCAATGTGCTTCCCATTTAAGCGGAGATCCATAATCCTCTTTGGCCAACTCCAAGTCCTGACATCCCTGCCCCTTAACATGTACGGTGTGATCTCGAAGCACACCTTTTCTCCCTACGGCCAAGCCCATGCCAGCTAGCTGGGTGCTTCCTTCAGCTCGGTGCACAGCCTCCCCACCGACACCGCGCTCCCCTCTCGCGTGGCCTCTGCACATCCAGAAAGACACCAACTCTCCATGCCTTTTCCAGCGATCACTGCTTAAAGCTGATGACCAACACAGACCTTAGTCCCACATCTTTGTAATGTCCCGCAGCACCCATGACCGAACAAGAGGGTTCTTTTTCCTAGAGACACCGTTCTCAACGCAATGTTTAAAAAACTGAAAGACGGTATACCGGAACGAACGGTATACCGTTCGGAGCCAGATGGGTTCAAATGAGGACTGTCACCCAAATGGGTTCAAGTCGCATTTTCGGTGTGTTTGACCTTGAGAAACCTAACCTTTCTGACATCTCAACGGTGAAGCAAAGGTATGGCCCACCTTACGGGCTGTGCCGATCAAAGCACGTGGAAAGATTTAGAACTGTTCTTGGTACACAGCAGGACGGCCGACTCTCAGAGCCGTCCCCACCCGCCACTTTACCTGCAAAGCACCGATAGCCGCGCTCTGGAAGCGCAGGTCTGTTTTGAAGTCCTGAGCAATTTCTCGCACCAGACGCTGGAAAGGAAGTTTGCGGATCAGAAGTTCAGTGGACTTCTGGTAACGTCTAATTTCGCGGAGTGCCACGGTACCAGGCCTTAACACAAAACAAAACAACATTAAACAAATGGTTATCGGACATACACAAAAACATACGAGGATAAGCGGTTAGCTTTAACAAATCCAGTCATTTTCCAAAAAATAAACCACCGGTTTTCTGTTTTTTAGCTTGGGTATAAAATTTCCCTCATCAGTTTATGATCTGAATATTCAAAGCTGTCGAGAGTAACAGAACAATTCCTTGAAAGCAAAAAGCGTAACATGAAAGGAGATTCTGAGCAGGGCATTTATCCGAGTCCCATTCACTTTCTTCGTCTTAACCTGGGGCGTCAATAGCATATCATTACTTGGGAGGGTGTGAGGCCACTAATAAAAAGTCAACATTCAGACTCTTGTCAATTTGGTATTACCAGCTTTGCTTCTTCTAAAAGACACACCAACACCACTCAATGGGCTTCATTTAAAAACACACTCAGGTATATTCAAGGCCCATTTCCCAGAACACGTTTACTTTGACTACGGCTCATCCGTCAGGAATGATGAAATCTGGATACTCCTGATGGCGCGGTGTGCCTTCCAAAGGGCAGAGTGTTCGTGCATCTTTTTTTTTTTTTTTTTTTTTTTTTTTTTTTTACTAAGTGTCAACAAAAACGTACCTCAAGTCTGACTTATTTCTTCCACTCTATGAGCTTTTATTTTAGAGTAACTATAAAATCATTTGCAGAGGCTAAGTACAGACAGCTTCTGCCCTCTAACGGCGGATGCCCTTAACAACACTGCTGAGGGCAGCTCAACACCAGACTGCTAACAAGGAAATACACCAATTTAAGTAAATGAAGGAGAACTTTACTCAAACAAAACACCCCACCTTGAGTATTATTAAAATAGAATTGGTATCAAAATGTATTATTTTGCCAAAAACGAGTGTCCATCCTCACATATGTACTTAAAAAGCACTTTATTATTTTAAAAACACACGTTACTAACGTAACAACTAAATAAAACGAGAACGTATCTCATTAACATCTTCGGTGATTCAGTAGGTCTCCTTTGGGCTCTGGGCAGCTTCAAATGAAATAAAACATTCCGACAAAACCCAACACTATGTTTTGGGACACACACGCGCATACGTTTTTAAAGTATTAGCAAATATTCAAAAGAGGAAAAACATCGGTTTCCCTAGATCAAAAAGTCTGCTGGTTATACATCTTTTCATATTTTACAATTGCTGCTTCCGTAGACGGACTCTATCCCACTATTTCCTCTTTAAAAAAAAAAAAAAA